AGCACGTCTTTCCTATTGTTGTAAATAATCAATAAATTACAGTTTTGACCACACATTGACCCCAAGGTGTTGGTAGTTACTTCTTTACTTTCAAATTTCAACTTTGACGCAGTTTGTTTTCCCTAAAAATGACAATTTTAGACTCTCGACGCTATCTGTAAGGATCACTATATCATCGGCATGCAAAACAATCTTGATTAATACAACGTCTCGATAGTTTTCACTGGCAGAAGGGTAAAAAATCTGTACAGGTTTTAACAGTCAAATTGGTCTATTCGCGCTGATTACACTTTTTCTCTGTTGAAAGTCAAGAAGTTGTAGTTTCGCCCTTTGAACTAATAGTCAATTCAGAGGTAGTTTGTACTTAGTTATACGGCGGTATATTTGTATTATTTAAAGTTAATTAAACTTTACCATGCGGGCGGACTTCATGGAGTAAGCTATTACATTCGTTGAGATTGGAGCGGAATCGTTTATTATTAACTGTTTTCTAAGTCTTAAACGTTCAATTTGATTTAAGCTTGGTGTTTCTAATCCAATGACACTACATGTTAAAAATTTAATTGACACTTTTGCCACTATCAGTGCAACTGGTTAGGTCGCGGCCATCGTCTCTTTAGTCGACGAAGAAAGTTTGAGAGAATTCCTCGAAGGTTTGAGGATTTTGTATTGATTTGGAGGGTTTTATGAAATCAGCTGTAACGAGGGCTTATTCCATCATGGACAAAAGGAATATTTAGGACACACCAAAGGCTTAAGACACACAGCAAAGTTAGGAACACAGTGAGGCCAAAGTGATCCGAAGCGACCAAACTTAAACTTAAAAATAACGATTGTGAGATTTTTTCAAGGGTCCTGCTGGCTGACGAATCTGTAGTTTAACGTCTTTAAACACTGGCACAAATTTATGAAGTTACAGTTTCACAAACTTCTCTCGAACGGACATCACACCGACTCAGCAATCGTTCGACGGCTAACAGGACTCTTTTTCATTTTTAAGGGTTTTTCGAACAAAATAGATGCATTTGATAGATATTTTCATTTCTGATAATAAACTTCTGGTTTTTTATGTATATTCTGTGTCAAAAACTACGTTTTTTACTAAAACATCGTTTATCGACTTCCTAACTACAAAAGTTTTACGGTTTAAATTGAGCGGAGAAGAATGGAGGAAATTCGAGTTCGATCAGAAAAAAACGTTTTTCATGAAAAGTTACATTTTTCCCATTTCGATACACTTTTCTCCAAAACTCTACATGTTATTGAAACGATCCTTATTTGTTTGTAAATCAATAAATGGTTTAATAATCTAAACCGGCAATATTTCAAAAAAATCCCAGAAGGGGATAAATAATAATTTTTGTAGTCAAAAAACTATGAAATTATGCCACAAATTTTTGTATCCTATGCGATCTACCAACGTTCAATACCGATGTTTCCGTTGAATTTGGGTTGTGATCAAAAGATCTTTCCAATCCAAAATCAAATCCAAAAAATTGTAATAGACCAAATAGATTGTGAGAAAATTGTACAAAAAACGGCAACTTTTTGTCTCTCTTTGAACAACTAAATGTCCTTGAAATATTGATTAAAAACCTTTAAACTTAAAAGTTTACTGTTTAAACATAAAGTATCGGCTTTCCTTAAAAACAAACAAATATTGAAATCAAAATCCGTCGAGTAGAAGTGGGGCTAAATTTAAAATGGGGGAGGAAAACCAGCAGTCCGTCCTAAAAGTACCCCCTTAAAAATCATGTCCCAGTACCCATAATCGGTTTTTCTTATTCGTTGACTTTCTTTGTATTAGATTTTATAAAATAATTCTAAAATACAAAAAAATAATCAGACTTGTTTTAAAATAATTTAAGGTTAACCGGTGGGAAAGGTTTTCTAAAAACTATGTTGGCTTCAAAGCATCGTTACATTTGCTTATACCGTAAAGATAATTAATTTTATTACACAATTCAAAAGTTCAGCTTTGAATGAAGAAGAGATTTAGATAGAGTGGCTCTTTTCTTTTTCTTAATTTAAGAAGATTCTAGTTGAAATAATAGTGCCATTACGATGAAATGAACTCTACACTTTTCCGAACTGTTGTTAGTCGCGTGGTTAGTTGTAATTCTCGTCGATTGGGTACTTGCTCGGTAATGGTTGATGTTGAACATACACCTGTACTTAATGCTAGCCGACTAATCCACGTGCAACATGTGCGCTATGACCGCAATTGAAGTGGAACTTAATATGTCGTCAACGCGAAAAGCACACCTTAGACTCTGCATACCAATCGGCTTTATTAGTTTTGCAATGCTTGTTAATTTGTTTAAACCGTGCTATTATGTAATAATTAACAATATTATTGCATGAACATTTCAATTTTATTAGTCTTTTGTTAATTTATAAATAAAAATATAGCCATTTATGACATTTCAGTGAGAGGCTTTACTGTTCATCTTTTCAAATCCCAAATAAGGGTTATAATCTATTCATACCACGTCCATTCCAACCAGCCTTCTGTTACATGAATGAATACATTATTTATTAATATATTATATATTAATTTTTAAGACTTCGCTTGAGTGATTTGCACTATTCTGAATCACAAAGTTGTCTATCTATTTATATTTCACTTGTCTCAAATACGTCAATATCTATTTATGTTTCACACTCCTGGTAGGTTTAAGTTTGAAAATAGCACAATCCAAGTAACACACACAAAAATTAACGAGAACTATCTTTATTACCTATAAATAAATTTGGCTTGGGCATACCGCCCATCGAAATGTTAAAAAGTGATATGATGACGATGATGATGATGGATGCTAGGAGAGTTGTTGTTCCCCAAGCAACGCACCCTTCTAACTTATTGTACATTCCAACTCCCTTAGTTCAGTGCAATCGACTCGATCCTTTACAAAAAAAAAATGCCAGGTCAATGACTGTCCTTGCTGTAATTCTTTTCACTGGGTTTTCACCCAAGTTATGTCTACATAGAGCGATAGCTTTGCATTCGAAAATGATATCAATGTTTCTTCTTCCTCATTACATAACTTACGAATGGAGTCATAATTATATACACCCATGTTGTGTAGATGTTTTCTCATTCCTCTTTTTAAACAGTCTCTAACTGTAACATTGAGTTTAACATTCTTAGCGAGGGTTATTTTAGCATAAACCTACTGTGTCTAGCACTGCTAGACTTTATCCACTTTTCCTTTTGTCTTTTTTAGATTCACTCTGTAATAGATTGTTTGTTTGTTTTTATTACCCCAAGAATAGGTTCTGGGCCTATATACGGTCTTGCAGATACTCCTATGGACAGTGTGTCTGCCTTTCGTTACCCAAAATTCCTTTGGCTCCGGGTAGCCAAGATTAAGTTGTGTTCCCCCAAGATTTTAAGATAATGGGTTGATTCACTGAGTAATTTTGATGTGATTTTTTTCAAGCTAATACTTTAATAGAATAAGGCGATCCGATCTTATGAAGATTGTTTGCAAGTGTTGTGCCTTTTATGATTTTCTAAGGCACAAGCGTTGAAAGGATGAATTTCATTTTGAAATACCGAGGTGTACTTCCCTAATAAGTTTGATTGTCCATGTTTTGGGTTTATACAAAAACGCCTGATTCGGTAGCTTCATTTGTTTTGGAGCCATATCATTATATCTGATCTCCTCCTGGATTCTTTTTCTACTATCTCTGAAGTACTCTGAAAAGCGAAATATCTCGAATACAATATTGAGATTCAGATTTTTGACAGTAGGTAATTTTTAGTCCAATTAGCCATGCAGAATAACCTCCTTAAGTATTGACGATGTGCACTGACACTTTGTAAAAAGAAAATAGAACCAAGGATGATGCCTTGCGGAACACCCTGTTTGATACAGCGGACCAGGGAGAACAATGTCTTGAATGGTTCTCTTGTTTTGTTACAATAAAACATTTTTTGTTAATAAAAAAGGAGACTCGTGTAGCTTTGATGTAAGTGCTGGTACACAAGGGGATTGAAGGTAACAAGCTGGAAAGTTAGCAAAAACAGGAAACCTGACGTCGGAACATGCCCTATATGCATACAAATCATTAGTCCATAAACTGCCAAAATCTGCACGGAGGGACCACCCCCGTGTATGAAATTAAGAAGGGTCAATTTACGATGTTTTTTTAGGTCGCAAAGGAAGAAAGAGAGACAAATGTCACTGACTGTGGAATGTAGTAAAATTTCTTATGGGCTTAAGGACTTTATTTCCAATTACCCATTGGGAGTCGCCGAAGTAGGGTCTGAACCACATAAGAATAGATTGGGTATGCCGGGAATCGAACCCAGAACCCAGAACAGCAAATTTCATTATTTAGTCCATGAAACGATGGATAATGATAAAAAATTGTTATACTGAAACAGGCTTACGCATGACAGAAAACTAATCACATGACATTACAATTATTTTTCACTGGGGCGCTAACTCATTAAAGCACATTCAACAGATTACTAGAGGATTCTAAATGATAGCAGGTACTGCAAAATGGGGTCAGTGCAGAACGAGTTTTGCAGGAATAACATTTTCCAAAGTGAAACCAAACCGATCTGGGCGAATCGAGCAAATGGAAATGCTAAAGGAATTCCGTTTTCTCCATTAGGCAGAGCTTTTCGAAAGGGGCATTATACACTCAGAACGTGAATTACATTTCCAACCATTTCAAACCGGCCTTACACCATAGCTCATTTAAATCTCGTCCAAATTTCCATCGGCCTCTGATGGCGAGAAAGGCTATTTGAAGAGATGGGGGCGGTGCAATTTTGACGGCGGGAGACCAATAAAGGAATCGATTCGCACCTCATCGTTCGTCAGGGTTAATTAAGAGGAAAGCAGGGATGAAAATAATTTCCACCCATTGACCTGTATTTACGTACAAATCCGCTCTTTCGCAATAATTTCAATTTTGACCCTTTACACACAGATTTTCATGATTACATGTAAAAACAATACAATTTATTTTTTTTGACGTAGATACGCTCTTTGATTCACTGCTCATCCATAACTGAGATCGTAAGTAAAACACATAATTATTAAATTTATGAGAATTATAATAGTTTAACATTTTTTCACATATACATAGGTCAAGAGACTAGAAAAGACAGAAAAAACAATTGTTATTTTTTCATTATTATTTCGCTCGAAAGGTTCAAAGAAAATATACCGACTTTTAGTATAATAAAAATACAATTGGTTATCTCGGCACTATCAGTCTCGTTTCGACATCGTGTCTGTATGATTTCTGTGAAGTCAAGCCGCTTTTATAAGGTCGTGATGGGTGAAGATGGCGAGAAGCAGAAACGCGCCCGGCAGACCTTAACAACCAGGAGGACCAAACCGCTCGAAAAGCACCAAATTTCCAAAACCATCACCACGCTGGCTTCACAATTTTATCTTACAACGTGTTGTTTTAGAACACAAACATTTTTTAGTCTATTTTGCCTTCTTTGTTTGGCTTTTGTTAAAAACATTCTAAGTGGGATTTTTTTAAGTAACTTCCTTACTTATTTAAACATTTATTTGGATGTTTCGGAAATTTACACACATCATCAACATCTACATTCTTAAAAGACATCAGCAGAACAAGGATATTCACGGAGAAATAGGTATATAGCTAATGCCGAAAGGTTAGGCAAAAAAAAAATATATATATTAGTATCTTTCAACATTTTCTTCTAAGCTTACCTTATATTTTAAATTTTTCATTAAATTTAGTTTCTTTTAAAAGATATATAACCATTCTGCATCTGTAATTTAAGTTTAAATTATGTATAAAATTTTGTATTATTTTAAGTAATAGTTAAAAAAAGAAAATTTACTTCCCGCATGGCCAAAATGGAAGAATTTTTTTTTAATGCGCGGTTATGTGAAAGGATTTTTTTGTAATGTCATTTTTGGTGTATTAATACTGTTTTTTACAATATGCATTTTTAAAAGAATTTTGGTTTATTTTAGATTTATTAGAATTTTATTTTAAATAAAGAACTTTTTTTAGAAGTAATATAATATATTACTTCTGATTAATTAATATTATTTTAAGAGTTGCTTGAGTTATACGTATGTATAAAGTTGCATCCTACAGTGCAACACACATTCAATACGCATTCACACAAATAAATACATTCACACCTATATACATGGCATTCATTCTGTTCGGAGGATGGAGTACTTAATATTCATCCATCAACCTGCAGACAAGGGGGTCGATGAAGTACTTTTATAAATATTCCCCCATTGAAACAAGTCACGTACATAGTTCGAGGGGGGTGGGGATGCTATTCCACCATCAGCCCCTCCCCATTCGCTCTAATAAATACACTCGCTTATAGAAAACTCAGAAACACAAAGCACATATTTCGAAGGCTATATACAATAAAAGATTCCCAATTCCCCTAAAAATAGGTACAGTGGACCCTGAAACTCGCTAACGTGTCCAAGAACCATTCTTAAATCCGATGGTGTGCCTACACGTTCTCTGTACGGAGCCAAGCCATGGCACGCCTCTATTATGTGGGACACATCGAGCGACCTTTCTCAGCCCGTACTTGAGTTATATTAAGAATTAATTTAAATAGCTTGATTTTTTTAAATTTTATGTAGGCATTTTTTCATTAGTTTTTTAAATGTAAAAGTTGTTTTTAAATATTTTTATGAATTTTCAGTTTTCTTCTAATACTGAAATATAATAGAGACATTTGGTTGTAATCAGTTTTTTTGTCATATATATGCATTCTAAGATTTGTGTTTTAAAAAGGTTTTGTTAAAATCCAAAATGTGTAGGTTTTTTAAATTGCGGGTATGTTTTGATAAGTTTGATTAGTTCTATGCTAAAAAAATGGCTGCGTTATTTTTTTAAAATATTTTTTATATAATTGCTATGGTTCTTTAACCGATTAGCCATGTTTTTTGTATATATCATTCATCACAATCAATTGAGTCAATTAGGGGGTGTATAATATTATTTTATTTTGAGGTTTAAAACCAAATTTTATGTAATCGACATAAAAAACATCATGCAACGACAGCGTAAAATCGCCTGTAGAGTTTGAAGAGGACAAATCCACGATAACTCTCCCTTATACAATTTAAATTTGACTGTCAAAAATAGAAAAATATTTTCCATACTAAAAAATTTCCCATCCAGCTGAAACGTGTTCGGTTTCGAACATTCAGATCAGTTCTGTTCAGAGTAATCTTTTTTAAGCTTTTAATTGACTTAATCGATCATACCTTTTTTATACCGTATATTTTTACAAACATATGTAGCTAATAAAGTGTATGTGTAAAAAATCCCGGATGCGGTTCTACGGTTGCAAATCCCCTTTGAACACCCCCATGAGGGGTTGAACTTCGATCCACCTCCTTGCGATAGCGATAATCAACTTATCGACTTCTTGAGGGTCCTGACCGCCGAGAGCAATGTATTTCGCTTTTAGAGAATCGCTTAGTTTTCTACTGAGGTACGTTTTATTTTTATTTTCTGAGTTTTATTAATGATACTGACTAAAAAGCAAGCCTATCATTTTCCCCATCCCCGATGGGATTCAACCATACCAGACAATTGAACCCTTATGCAAATGAATATATTTTTTTATGGTCCGCATTAAGAAACCTATTCCTTAAGACATTTACAATTTAAAAATAAAAATCTAAAATAATATAATCAAAATTCTCATATTTTCACTCACTTCAATAAAAAATTAGTTAGAAATTATTTAAAAATAGAAAAGTTTGAAAACATTTGTTTATATTGATTAAGCGTGTAAAAATATTTTGTGTCGACTGCACAGCATGCGTTTGTTGTTAATATTTTTCAATAATTACCTTTTTATAAATTAAAAATAAACATAATCAACACCATTGGAATTAATTAAATCATTGCAGTGATCGCCCGCCCAATATGGGATTTGATTATAATTAACATTTCAATCATTAATATTATCCAATCCGACAGTAAATAAATGAAATTATTATTATTATAACGAAACTAATCACTTGTAATTCACTTGTAAAATTTGAATCGCATTATCTAATAGATTTCGAATCTTCTTTCTATTACAGTAATTGCGTTTTTCCACCGGCTAAAAACTAAACTATTTATTGTTTAAATAGTGTTTTGTTTGCTTTGGGGAAAAAAAGCTTCATACGAATAACGATCAGGTCGGAAAAATGAAAGGATTCGTCGGATTAAATACCCAGGTATTATTGTTTGAAGAGACAACTTCAAAAACCTTAGTCAAGTATCGGTTAAGTCGTTAATTTGGAGAATTGATATTGTAACGGAGAGTAAACCTGCAGCGCTTTTTAAAGTTGAAAATTGGCGTCTGCCAGGCACGTTTCTATTTCTCGTCATCTTCACTAGTGAGCTTGAACCAAAATTCTTAATAACTTTCAATTAATTAAGGTTTTTGGTTGAGATAAAAAAGTCAATGTCACGAACGGGATTCGAACCCACGACCTTCGGCTAGATTCGCCGCAACTGTACCACCTGAGCTATCGTGACTTCGATCCACTCGGGCACTAACTTCCCATCTCAACCCCACCTTTTGAATTTGAGATGGGAAGTTAGTGTCCAAGTGGATCGAAGTCATGATAGCTCAGGTGGTAGAGTAGCGGCGTATCTAGCCGGAGGTCGTGGGTTCGAATCCCGCTCGTGACACTGACTTTTTTCTCAACTAAAAATCTTAATTAATTGAAAGATGTAACGATGAACTAGATTATCGACCTGCTGGATACAAGAAGTCTTTTCAGAGGATCTTCGGAAGAGGTCAAAACAGAGAAAACTTCCTTACGGTTTTCGCCGAGCTTTCGACAGTTTTATACTGTCATCTTCTGGGCCTGTTTTATTATCATATAAACAAACAATTAAAACATGAAAAAACAATAATTACAACAATAATTGGATATCTTACTTTAAAACCTTAATAGGAAATTAAACAACATGGTGTTTTGAGAAGTACATTATGTTTTTTTCGGCTCAGCATCTAAATATTGATTTAAATGGAATACATTAACAATTAAAAATTATAGCTAAAATTACAGTAAAAATAAAGTTAAAAAACGTGGTCGAGAAAGGTTACCTCATATAAGTCTAAAAAACCAATAAAATCCACCTTTTTTAGTTTTTCAGGTACAAATGATCACAGTACGTTTCCCAAATATATATATACATATACAATTAACTTATTTTAAAATTTAAATAACAATAAAGTAGGTTCACAGATCAAATCAATAAAAACCGATAAAAACAAAATCTCTACGACGAGGGGAAACAAAGGCTACGGGAAACAATCGTTTTTTCTCCTAGTTAACATAAAATCCGCCACTAGGGCGATGTTCTACTTTCCCTCCTTTGCTTAGAAATCCTGTATTCATTTAGGAGACCTGCAAAGATCGAAATGGATCCCAACCTATCAGTTTGTAGATGACAGTATAAAACTGTCGAAAGCTCGGCGAAAACCGTAAGGAAGTTTTCTCTGTTTTGACCTCTTCCGAAGATCCTCTGAAAAGACTAATTGAAAGATATTAATTGGTCAAGCGGACCACGAAAACTAGTGAATATTCTTAATAACAATTAACAACAAAGCAAAAATCGCGATACATAACGTACCAAAATGACCATCCCAAACAGACCCTGTCTGCTTCTCGTCATATTTTTTTAATCAAAATTATTAGGATGAGCTACTACAACAAACTACAAATTGTTGTGAAATATTTCCATTCGGTCTGCGCGATGATGGACATGGAGTTTGGTCGTTTCCTAGCGTTTTGCCCATCATCGATGTTTAAGGTCTGTCAGGCGCGTTTCTGCTTCTCGTCATCTACACCCATCGAGACCTTAAAAGCGACTTGACTAGAAATCACACAGACACAATGAAGATGGCGAAATGCTTAGTCTAGTCTGACAGACCTGAGATAATCCAATTTTATTCGTATTATATTAAAACTTTTTTTCCTTGAACCTTTCGAGCGAAATAATAATTAAAACAATTCCTTTAAATTGAGCTAGAATG